GGAAACTGGTACATTTTTTTAAGGATTCTTTGATGAATAGAAAGTTCAAAAGAACAGCATTTATTTGAAATATAAATCTTTTGTAACATTGATTAAAACTTTAGTTGCTTTTGATCAATTTAATATACAAAATAGTACTGATTTCTCTCTTTTTTTAGAGTTAACAAAAATTAACCATTAGCAACATTAGTAGTCTCTTTCGTCTAGAAAAATAGATCCAAAACATTAATGACTCTTTTTGCACAAATTAAATTTTGATGCCCCTCTTCCTAATACTACCTGCAACTGACTAGCAAATATCAAATCACTCTCATAATGAAGAGGAACTAAAGAAAGACAAATACCCCAAATCATGTGACTTATTGAAGAAAGATGTGAAATTACTAACCAAAGTACCCTAGCAACCTACCAAAACACCTTAGCAACTGCTTAACAAGTCGACACAGTAGTGGACACAGTCACATTTTCTGCATTAAATGTAACAAAACTAGATTTAAAAACTTAGAGCTTATTTGGCACTAAAGTGTACACATATAAGCTCAGTCCTTATAGAATTATGGTTCTGATGAATAAAAAAGGTGAAATACTCACAAAAAGAAAACATGCCTCTCATCAGTCTGGCCTACATAGTTAACAATGTATACAGCCTCCATGCAGGACATTCATCAAAATCTAATAGCTCTTTAGAGAGATTCAAAAAGATTTGAAATGCAGTTCATCAGACAGTACAGGATCTCTGCCAACTTCCAGACAGACCTCCACCTGGACATAAAGTTGCCGTGTTTATTCTGGAACTACCGTCTGCCTTACAGGTGTTCTTTAGGACTAGATAAGTAGACGGAATGTCAGTCTCCAAACACAGGTGCTCCTTATGAAAGTGGCCAATGCTGCTTTACATTGCTGCTACATTTGTGGAGCCGGGGTTATGAAAACAGACAGAACGGCAAAAATGTGATCGAGCATTCCTTCACCATAAATGTCCTTTAGCTATCAGATATGGTGCAGCCATCTGATTATTAATCTTTCCAGATATTTTTTTATTTTTTTTAACAGTTTAAGTTCCCTTAGAGCTTATAAATCTTCTTTAACCAGGTTTTGAAACAAACTAGTCTTCTAAAGCAGTCAGCTAGTGTCTTATTCTTAATATGGAGGGCTGCAATAAACATTTAAAACATGTTTCTGTGTCCCTGTTTGCTGTGCCTGTGATGTACTGCACTGCGGGCATTGAGCCGGTCCAAGCCCCCCATTACCAATCAATGGCTGACTGTTGACCTCTGACCCGTGTCGTAACTGGAGCTCGTAACTCTGTGATAAAGCCAGTCAGAGCTCCACTTGCATGGTGGAGACCCCTGGAGACTGATGCTGCTGAAAACTGATAGCCTTTGCGAGCCTTTGTGCTATTGGTCCGACTATCTCATGCTCATTCACTGTTGGTTGGATTGTCTGTTTTCTGTATTTAGCATGCCAGCCTCCACACATCCATCCCATTAATTGTCATCGTGTGGATATCAGATCCAAAACAAGAGTCAACCGGCCCTCAACCATTCTGTGGATCCCGTCACTCACATCAATATTCGCAAGTGTTCGCGGCTCATTATAACAGGATATTATTAGTCACATTGTGGAGTTGGATTATACATGGTTTGCACTCTGTATCATTTCCATACCTTCCAATCCTCTTATTTTTATGAACATTTCGGGTTTTACTCAGTGACTCACACCTCTCCGTACTCTCATGACAAACAATAACCTAACACACACACGTTCCTCACTTTCCTGCCTATACCCACGAACACATCGTATCTGATTTAGGGTGCAGTGTATATAAAAGAAAGCTGTATTGAATTACACCTCGGCTTTAATTGGACTAGTGCTACAGTGTGCCGCTGTCACAATGAAAAATCGGCCTTTCAGGGCCCGTGGAATGTCTAACCGCTGGCTTGTCAGTGGACGGGGGGAAAGAAGAAGTTAATTGTTCTCTGGCGTGCGTTCAAGCTCTGTCGTAATTGCACAGAAATCTCAAGGAGGTTTCAGCGCCAAGGCTTTATTTATTTGCCTCCTTCCTCTGTTTTAAAGTCGACTGGGCTGAAATGGGCCCCCGGGCATCCAGGGGACCCCCTGAGAGAAGGCCTCCATCTCTTTTCCTGCTCTTGGCCTGGTTCTCACTGGCTGGCATGCTGAGTTCAGGGCCTAGAATTAATTAAGTCGCATGCCTTCCTGTTGATCCCAACACTATGCAGCCGCTGGCCCAAATGGTGGACTTCCTCCCTGTTGGGTTAAAATTCCCCCCAAACGAAGGAGGCAATGTGAAGACTCTGGTGTGCACTGTAAAACAAATTTGGTAGTTTTTACAAAATAATTTTGGCAGCTGTGGTTGCCAGAATAATTTTGTAAAAAATACAGAAAAACTAAACATATTTAAGGCCAAAAACTTTAGTTTTTTGTTTATTTGTTATTTTTACTTCTAAAAACTGTAAAATTAACAGCATTTTACTGTAAAATTACATGAAATGTCTGGTTAGATATTTTACAGTTTTTCCCTGTATATAGTACGGGAACTTACTGTTAACCTATTAACAGTTTTTTTCCGTAGCGTTTTTACAAAATTTTACAGTTAAAATTACACTTATTTTATACAGTGTGGAGGGTATTAAATATAGCGTCTGATCTGATCTTTCATGTCAATTTAATTCAAGATGCAGAGAATAGTAACATACGGACCGGACCAAGTGTCTATAATTAAAAAATCTCTCACTATGTTGAGTAAACTGATTTCTACAGACCCTTAAAATGCCTTCCACACACCGTTGAGGTAATCGCTATATGATAAACACAGATTGCATTTGTTATGTTCGGTTATTGTGTGTACATCTGTATGCATATAGTGGGATGAAGATGCTTGTCTCATCCTGGAGTTCAGATAATTAAATGAGCTCAAAAGAATTCAGATAATTGCAATTTAGATTCCATTACAGAAAAGAAGTATATTAATAGGGGCAAACTAGAATAAGATGTTGAGAATAATGTACCATGTTTTATGCATTTTATTTTCTTATTTTCTCTTGTAGTTCTGTTTTAGGTATCACATTTGTTTTTTGTAAATCACTTTTTAAAAGGTGATATATAAATAAATCTTTACTTTTAGTTTCCATTTGTCTAATTTAATAGTTTTCTCTGTATATTGCCTGTATGGTTTAGTTATGTCAGACTGAGAACAGGAATTTAAGGTATGTGCTACATAAGGCAAGGGAGCATGGGCGTATATACATGCGATAGCTCATCTGTGTGTGTTGAACGAATACAATTCTCCTCAGCTTAGATGGACACTTCACAGGGGACACATAGCTGGCGTGCCTCTCCATACTTGACTTTATTACTGATATCTGCTTTCCTTTTTCATCATTTTCACCTCATATTTCTGTCTCCCTCATGGCTGTCATCCCAGACAATACACCTCATCTGTAGATGCTGAGATAAATTAAAAGATGTTTTAGTTTCTTTAGTGAAGAAAAAAAGATTGTTAAATGGTGTTAAGGTGGAATGCTGCCATATTCCTCACTTACTCCAGTAAGACAACGGCATAACAAAACTAATGACTAGTTATTAGACAATGAAAGTAGCTATTTTCCAGACTTTCCAGACTAAGGAAGCACACATACATCGCCAAGATGACTGGAAATGTCCAAGTTATAATCATGGGTTAGAAACACCTTAAAAAGAGCAGATCCACATACATTCTGTATCATAAATGTCACAAAAATATCTACTGAACATTTTAATGACATAAAGCAGTTGAGTAAACTGTATTTTTTTTTCAGAAAACAAACATTAAATAGTAGAAAAGTGAATTGTAAAGAATTTAATGATTGTTGCAGTAGTTGTAAGCTGAATGTGTTTGATTCACTACAAAGAACCAACTCATTAGAGTCATTCAGTCTGGATTCAGGCTACACTAATTGTGCTGCATTTGTTTGATTCACTCTAAAGAAACTGACACATTACAGTCAGGAATCAGATTACACTGATTGGGCGGAATGTGTTTGATTCACTAAAACCGAGTCAGAGTCATTTCTTCAGGAATCAGGCTACGCTTGGTTAAATAGATTCTGTCTGATTTACTCAAAAGAACTGACTCTTGTCGGCGCAGATGGCCTCGTGGGCAGTGTGCCAACATGTAGCGCCTTTGCGCTTCGGGCGTCCCGAGTTCGAGTCCCGGCTTGTGGACCTTTCCTGATCCCACCCCCCTCTCTCTCTCACCCACTTCGCTTCCTGTCGACCTACTGTCCTATCTAAATAAAAGGCATAAAACGCCAAAAATAAATCTTTAAAAAAAAAAGAACCGACTCTTTTAAAGTCATTTGTTCGGGATTCAGAGACTAGTTGCACTGTATGTGTTTGCTTTACTAAAAAGAACAGACTCGTTAGAATCACTCATTCAGGTATTGGATTACACTGATTGTTTGGAATGTGTTTGATTCACTAAAAAAGAAAACAGACTCTGAGTCATTTGTTCAGAAATTAGGCTACACTTATAGATTCTGTCTGATTTACTCAAAAGAACCGACTCTTTAAAGTCATTTGTTCGGAATTCAGACTACACTAGTTGCACTGTATGTGTTTGCTTGAATCATTAGACTCATTAGAATCATTCGTTCAGGACTTGGACTACACTGATTTTTTGGAAAGTGTTTGATTCACTAAAAAGACTCGGAGTCAGACTACACTAGTTGCACTGTATGTGTTTACATTACTAGAAAGAATCATTAGAGTCATTAGAATCATTCATTCAGGACTTGGACTACACTGATTGTTCGGAATGTGTTTGATTCACTTAAAAGACTCATTCGAGTCATTCGTTTAATATGGGACTTTTCCTCTGAAGCCATATTATAGCTTTATTTAACAAATATTATTATTATTGCTCAATCAGACTTTTATACAGTTGTATGTTCTGCATGTCCATCCATATGATTTTTCTCTCCCTCTCTTTTTCTTTTAAGATTTGGCGGATAACTTGGCGATTGACGACTTAACACTTCATGAGTTGCTCCTGACTCCCAGACTGGCCACAGACACCCATGGCGGAGCATCCGTACCTGGAGCGGCACAGGCAGCATATGTTCCTAGTGCAACCTTTATCTTTACCATCATCATCTTCATAATGTTGGGTCTTCAGTGATCACACCTGTTTGAAGAGAAACTCTACTGATGCCCATGTGTACATATAGCTCCATGATTTTGGCCAAGGACAAGAACCTATCCTCTTCTCAGCCTCAAGTCTTACTATATGAACCTCTTCTTTTCTATATTTTGTGTGGACCTGAGGATCAATATCATCTAAACGCTCAGACTATGAACTCATTCTTCTACAGCATGAAGAGCATTACTTATACATACAAGAATCATGTTCTTTCCCTCCGAACTCGTATGCCACACAACAGCCATGTGTTTTACATTGAGCATCACCTCCCCTCTTCTATACACATGCAGTTTTACACAAAGGCCAAAGCCTTCTGGAGGAAAAGGAGCTAAATCGCTTTTGAAAAGACAAAGAGGCTCAGCTTTTGTGAGTGAATGGGCACACTTAAGGAGAAGGAAGCGTGACTGACAGAGTCTGAGAACACGTACAAGCACTCTAGTGGTGCAGGCTGTCTCTCATACATACATTGCAGTGAGCTTCTCCTCAGCCGCTCATTTCCTGTGCAGTAAATGACCCTTGGAGTGGAGGACATCAAGGCATCGGCATGTCGTTGTGAAACCCTCTCCTTACAGGATGACACAGTTGTACTTCATTTACAAAAAAATGCTTTTAAACTGTTTTATTAGAATGCTGACATTCCCTTTTCAGAAATTGTGGCAATTTATAATCTCTCTTTGATTTTGTCGCTCATTATCTCTCTTCCTTTTTCTTTCATTTCCTCTATTCTTGTATTATAATCGTGTGATTAAAGCGTTCTTTTAAATGGACACCCACAAAACTTCCTGTTTTAACTCCCTCCTTTCGCAAGTCACTGTAGCATTTGCATTCAGTGAAAGATGGCTTGATGGATTTGTGCATCTGTAAAGTTTTCTTGTTTCTGGACATCTTGATACACAAAGGGCTAAAGCTGTCATTTCAGATCAGAATTGGAAAACTAGTGTTTACAAATGGACACTGTTTTCCTTTCATAACCTGTGACGTAATTCATTACTGATCTCTGTACAGTCCTCAAAGGCATGTCATCATCTGTTACGTGTGTTTTAAACAAACTGAAAGAATCAGCTTCATTGTGCTAGACGTCCCCCAACTGGAATGATACACAGTGTCCTGCAAGTTTTCAGACGATTACCCATTTCAAATCATACATTTTTTTCTGTTGTTGTATTATTTCAAAGCACTTAAACTCAAAGTCATTTTGAAGATGAAGAGTGTAATGTATTTATTTATTTATTGTGTGTTTGTGCCTCCTTTCCCAGCTTCCCAGAAAACCATCCAAATCCATTTGTAGATTGACTTCCTCAAAGATTGTAAACACTGGGCTTTTTCAAAACACTGTTTGTTTGAGTGGTCATGTCAACCTTTGATTCAACCAGAGACTCGAGTTTGGATCAAAACTGTCTGTTTGTTCAAAGTGTTTTGGGAACCGGGTTTTTTTTTTTTTTGCCAATT